GTGTTGATGTACCAGTTTCATTACGAATATATGAAAAAGAAGTATGGTGTTAACGCTAAGCTGCTTTTCACCGATACGGATAGTCTATGTTATGAAGTGAAGACCCGTGACATCTACCAAGACATGCTGGAAGATGCAGAGCTATTTGACACATCCGAATACACACAAGATCATCCTCTTCACAGTATCAGAAACAAGAAAGTCCTCGGGAAAATGAAAGTCGAAACACATGGTATTCCAATCCAAGAGTTCATTGGTTTGAGGCCAAAGATGTACTCTATCCTATACACTGAAAACAACAAACAGGTGGAGAAGAAAACAGCTAAAGGGATAAAGAAGTCAGTGACAAAGAAGAAGATAAGACATGACAATTATAAAATCTGTTTATTGGATAAGAAGCAGACAAAAGCGTCAATGAATCAGATTCGAAGTAACGGTCATGAGATCTACTCCATCAAATTAAACAAGATTGCTTTAAGTCCATACGACGATAAACGTTTCATTTTAGAAGACGGTGTTAGCACATTAGCTCATGGACACTATAAAATTAACATATAAGTTGTGTAACAAATCTCACATATGGTGGGGATATAAGAATGGTGTTATACAATTGTGCTCTAAGATAATCTAATAAAACTCTGTAATATGATGAATTCAAATACACTTTTTCACACTCTCCCTCTATTGTCCTTTATGTTTTCTTTGGATTTTGAAGAAACTGAGCTGTAGTGTATACTGTTAATGGTGGTGGAGGGTGGTTATAGTTGGGTGGAGGGGGTTCCTGAGCCTGAGGATAGTGGACCTACTTAGAGAAATTAGAGAATCGGGCCATCGGGCCATAAAAAAGGCCCCCGGGCCATTTTTAATACCTGTTAATAAAAGCCGTCATGGTTTATTCCCTCCCGCATCATTATGGTTAAACCTGAGTTGTTCTGTTTTCAACTATTATTCGATTAATTATGAAATACCACGTTAATGAATAAAATACTAAACATATGGGAATAATGGTATAAACGCGTTTCGGGACACCGATACACAAAGTTTTGTTAAAACGGAGTGTAATTATGGTTTACGTTCGTTTAAGACACTATAAGCGTGTGTAATTGATATGAAATGATATCCTGATGACGTAATGGGTGGAGCTCCAGTGCTCCACCCGCTCCACCCGGTCCAGAACCCCCCTTCCCTATACTACTATGGCACATCTCTTAACCGTCGTGGACAAATAGCACATTTGACACAGGTAACACTATGATGAAGTAATTTTTCTTTTTCGAAATGGCGATGTATCGACATGACTTTTCAATGGCAAAATGCTATTGGAATTCACCAGTGATTAATTATATAGTTAAAGGGCACTTGCTCAATGGCTTCCCTGTTAGATACTGGATACCTTTCAAAGTATATTAATTGCTACATGTAGTGGTAAGGTGAGATGGCACATCTCTTAACCGTCCAGAACAAATGGCGCATTTGACACAGGTAACACTATAATGAAGTAATTTTTCTTTCTTGAAATGGCGATGTATCGATATGATTTTTCAATGGCAAAATGCAATTGGATTGTCGTTTGTACCATTGATTAATTTGTTGATATGTCACTGGCTTCCCTGTTAAATACTGCTTTTGAAGTAATCAAGTAGATTAATTGCTACATGTAGTGTTAAGGTGAGATGGCACATCTCTTATCCGTCCATTTTTGTGTTACTGTTCGTTTTAGAAGCTATTTTAAATTCCCAGATCTAGAGGTATAACAACGCACGTTTTACAACAACCAGTGGCGTAACGCAACCGCTGGGGGCCCTCCGTCAATCGGCCACTTTGGGCCCCTTTGCTACACTAAAAATAGGTTCCCCCCCCCCGTCGCCAAAAAAATTTCGGACATTGTACCATTGTACCAAAAAATTTTCCGGACATACCCAATGAAATTGCAATTAATTCATTCTAGTATCTCGTCCTTTACCTCAGCCGCGACGTACTTAATCCGTCGCAGCTTCGGGAAATTTCTCGGCGGATTTTGCGTTTTCCAGAGAATGGTTTTTTTTTATTCAATTCAATTCAATTAATTCAATTCCCCAGAAATGTGCTATCAAATTTTTTAAGGTCATTTTTGTTGGGGGCCCCTAAAGTTCGGGGGCCCCCCGTCTCTGGACACCCTGACACCCTCCCGTTACGCCACTGACAACAACTGTGATTTCTATACAGAGACTGTCAAATTCCAAATTCGTCTTGCCGTCAGTTCGAGTAAGAATGGTTAAACAGCCTACAGAGCAACGAGTATTTGTTGTAAAAACTGATACTTTAACGCAAAGTGTAATCGAAGCGTTAAGGTATTTGGACAAAGGGAAGTTATAAATAGTTCCGCCGTTCATGTACAATTAAATTAAATTCACAAAGGTATAATAACGCACAAGGGTGATTTCTAAAGGGAGACTTTTGTTTCGGAGACCTTGTATATTAGAAAAAGGAGACCTTTAGAATATTGAAATAACATTTAAACACAAGATTTTCTGCTCCTGAGAATTTGAAAATATAACTTTTAATAGCGTAAAGAAACATGATATTTTCTGTGTTGGTGTAATGTACCAAGGTGAATAAGATGCTTGTAATGTTACTCTGAGTGTATATCCACACCGGGCACGCTTGAAAATTATGCCTGACCACGGTGGTCTACGACCTTTGGATTAATAGCCCAATGCTCTGCCAACTGAGCTACGCGGTCAAGTCGGTTCGAGTTTGTGATATTACGGAACTGAGTCTTGTTCCTATCGAAGTATTGTGCAACATTTATTCAGATAGAATAGGAGAGAAAACAGTGAAAACATGTTGTTCGATACGACTGAAGACGAATTAATTATCTCCAATAAAGTATAATGAGCGTTTTCGTTCGATTAATTTTTGCTCACATTCGTACTGGATTGTTTCTATAATTGAGAGATCAGTAGTTTAGCCCTTGCTATAGTTGAGATTCCAGAATACTAAGCACATGTTGTGTGACCGTGCACGTGTCTTATTTGAAATATTTGCGGTAGAATTCAAGTTCAGATTCCTCCGCAGGCATTTCTTACTATTGTAGGGTTAGGGTGGTGCGAAAAAACAAGATGAGTTATTTTATCTGATATTTTAATACTAAATATGTTATATTGCATCTTAATAATGTATTTTGTCTTTAATTTAATACAAGCTATATTTTATATCTTCGAAATATATTTTGTATTTGTACACTTCTTTTGTACACGCCACTCGTGAAAAACAGCTTCTGTTGACGGGGTCATTGTTTTTAAATAAAGTTTTCAGCTCAAGAATTGTATAAGTCTCACTGAATATATCATATTTCAACGACCCCTTGCCTGAAGCTACAGAAAAAGAGGAACGGCAAAACTGAATTCCCAGAGGCGTAGCCAGGGCTGGGGTCGGAGGGCCCGCTCCCCCTGGCAAAATTTTGCCCCCCCTGGCAAAATCCCCCTGATAAAATGTATTGTACAGGTAAGGGTACCTGCAAGGTAGGGATTGTTGCGGGCATCAAGAGCAAATAGAACTAAAAATAGTGAGCTAAAAATAGACTTGTGAGCACTGTGGTCGGAGCTTAAGGAATATGGAATCAATTCATGCCATGAGTGTCTGAGAAAAAGCAATGGCCAATGCATTTGTTGCCAAGACCATGCACGGGTTCAAGAGCAATCACAGATTACAGATAGGCGTGTTAATGTTAATGTTAAAGTTTATGGAAGTAATATTCACTAAATCATAAGCAAGAATATATAATATTTTGAAGATCAAGTGGGATTTGTTGAATTTATTACGCGCTGCTTTAGTACGCGTATAAATACAAATGACAAAGCGTTCTTATTAAGACGTACAGTTAAATTATATAACACAAGTTTTTGCCATTTGATTTCATATTATTAAGTCTAATACTGCTAGGCGCATTTACTACATTGTATACACAGTATTAAACTAAGAAACCAAAACTTTATAATAAATTAAAATATAGAACTTGCAGTGGTCAAAGTCCATTGAGTGAACAACGCACGAAGTGCAGTCACGTTATTTTATACACTAAATTATGATGGCCTTTACAGGGCTTAAAACTTTACTAAACCTTATGCCGAGTGCCTGAGTCAAAATAATTTACAAGTCGAAGCAAGCAAACGCCGAAGGCGAGGTGATTATCGGGGAATATTCGCTTCGGGCTCGGTGATTATCGGGGAATATTCGCCGAGCCGAAGTCGAGGTGAATATTCCCCGATAATCACCGAGCCTGAGGCGAATAATTGTTTCAATACTTTTGCACAAGTTTTATTGTGTTTTTCTTGTCTGAATTCATTTTATTTTTGCTTATTTCTTTATCACTAACCTCAACAAAACGGCTAGCCGCCATTTTGAAAATTTCGATTTTGTTATATTCATCTGTAGGTGAATATAACAGATTTAATACGTCAAATTTGACCAATCACCTTGTAGGATTTGTTACGTTCACTTAAACGATATCCTTCAAATACGCCCCAAATATTGTAAGTCGACCACAATACAATTGGCTAACTAAAATTTACTTCAAAACTCCCTCTCGGCACATATTAGAACGCTGCTACGCTCGCTCGCTTCAGGCTCGCTCGCTACTCAGCAAAAAAAATCCTTGATTATACACAGGGGGCCCCACTATGAGTTATGATTGAAATAATATTGTATTTATTTTAATATTGTATTTATTTTTAAAAACCTACTTGAATCCTTGATAATCGATTATTTCTTCTCTCGAAATTCTGTAAACATTTTAAACTGCTTGAATCATTATACTATCACTCTACATGAAGTATAGATGATCGCTGACAAATAAGAAGGCGGGCGCGAAAAGACGAAGGCGGCGAAAGAAGGAAGAATTAAATTCTTCCTTCTTTCGCCGCCTTCGTCTTTTCGCGCCCGCGGTCCTTACTTGTCAGCGATCATCTATATTTCATGAAACGTCATGTGAATTCCGAGAAATGTGAATTCCGAGAAATTCCGAGAAATAATAAAGAGAAAAGGTAATACGAAATACATGTCGAAGAAATCTTTGCCTTGTTTGATTGTTTTGCGACATATTTGGTGCTGGTAGGCGCTTCTTTGTATAAACATGGATAATTTTATTATCCATGGTATAAAGAAGCGACTGCGAGCCATTTTGTTTTGAATTCAAAAATTGTTCGAGTTTTTAACAAGTAGGGATCGTGACGAGACTTGGGTTCAACATGGTGTATAAAAAGAGAGCTACCAGATTTAAAAATTATAGCTGTGGATTTTTGACCAAGGGCAAAATTTGTCCCCGAGCCGACGGCGCGAAGCGCCGTGCGAGAGTACTAATTCCCCCCTGCTATTTACACCCGGGGAAACGAAAGCATTAGTGCATACTTACGTGCATACATTAAGTGCATACATTAGTGCATACTTAAGTGCAGTGTTATAAAAACCTCTTTAAGCGACCACGACATGGTTGGCTGTATTAGGAAACTACACAACATAAAGTTTAAACCTCGCACGATCACTTGTCGCAACTACAAACAATATAACATTCCTTCTTTTAAATCAGATGTTAGCAATTTATCGTTCCCAGATTATAGCAAATTCACAAACATTAATGAGGCATGGGGTAACTGGAAGACAAAATTTCTATCAGCTGCGGATAAACATGCACCATTAATCAATAAGAAAGTCAGGGGAAGAAAAACACCATGGATAACCAGTAAAATTAAGGACAGCATGAGGGAAAGAGATCACTTTCTTACTAAAGCAAGATCGAGTAAGTCTGAATTGGACTGGCAGGAGTAAATATCGAAATTTACGAAATACGGTTACGCGAGAATTACGAAAAGCAAAAGGCCGGTACTATAGAAATCAATTGGAGGAAAATCTTTACAATCCAAGTAAATTCTGGAAAGCCGTTAAAAAGCTTGTCCCAAACGAAAAGTCATCTACCAAAGCTAGCACTACCCGAATTAAGTATGATGATAAACTAACCGAAGACAATTACACAACAGCTAACACTTTCTGTAATTTCTTTTGTAACTTGGCCAAACGAATGAACAACGAATTAAACGATTGTTCCTGTACTCTAAATAATATTATTCACCATGCCGGATCTGTGAATGTATTTAATTTTACTCCGGTGCTTCCCTCGTCTATATTATGCCATCTTACATCGATTAAGGTATGCAAATCCAGTGGAATTGACGCTATCCCAGCAAAATTACTACGAGACGCTGCATCAGAAATATCTGTTTCCCTAACTGGTCTTATTAATCTATCATTATTTCTTGGGAACATCTCTGACAAATGGATAGTGGCGAAGGTGATACCTATTTACAAGTCCGGAACGCATGATAATCCGGAGAATTATCGACCTATTTCCATCCTTCCAGTCCTTTCAAAGATGTTGGAAAGAGAAGTGCATACTCAGCTCTATAGACATATTGATATTAATAACCTACTTTCGCCATTTCAATGCGGCTTTCGCAAGAACTATTCTTGTGAAACAACTGTTACTTATTTTACCGATAAAATTAGAAAAAACGCAGATAGTGGACTTTTAACTGGTGCAATTTTTATTGACATTAAGAAGGCATTCGACACCCAGATGATCTTGATACGCGGAAAAGTACTGGTTTATGATTAAAACAACAGAACATCTCCTGTAATATACTTTATTTCGATTCCATATTTTTGTCAGAGCTATAGTTCTCATAACCAAACATAATTACAAAATTTCAATTAGTTTCATAAAGAATAACGAAAGATATAATTGTATTTGTATTTTTTTGTATTTATTAAAATTCAATACATATAATTCCATATATTTACAAATATCAAATTAGATGTATTAGGGCATACCATAAACAGAATTCAAGATTCCCTCAAGAATGGTTTCCCAATTACAAACAGAACATTAAACTAACATCACAGGACACATAATACAAATAATTCCTAAATTATATAATTTTACAATTTCTAAATTAAAAGTCTGAATTATATACTTTTAAAATAATATAGAGTAAGTTGTTTCTTAAAGTACGACAGATGCTGAATAGAACGCAATGTGTAAGGAAGTAAGTTCCATAAGCGTGTAACACGAACGAAATATGAGTGCTTAAAAACATCTGTGCGTGCAAAAGGCACTGTAAGTGTCATGTCGTCACTGTTGCGCAAAGAGCGACCCGTATTTTTCCAAGAAAGGAAACCTCCTGGTATATCAACTAACTCATGTATAATTTTAAAGAGAAAAACAAGATCTGTGATTTCTCTACGCATATACAAAGGTAGAAGATGAATTTTTTCTAGTCTAGATTTATAATCAACTTCATGGCCTAGGATCAGACGAGAAGCTCTACGTTGCACCTTTTCAATTTTATTAATATTCCGTTTCTTATAAGGAGACCATACTGGGCTAGCATATTCAAGAGTTGGCCTCACCCAAGTAAAATAAAGCAGACGCTTCACACTGTTATCATCAATATCCTTTAAGGTTCGATATAATAGACCTAACATTTTCTGGGCTTTAGCAACTATATTATCTGTGTGAATATTCCAATTCAAAGTATCAGAAATCCACACACCTAAATCTTTTTCGCTTTGAACAACCGACAAATGCGAGGAGCCTAAAGTATACTGCCTATCATATATTGTACGTGTTCTAACAACCCTCAACACCTTACATTTTTCAACATTAAACTCCATGCCCCACTTAATTGACCAATCATACAGAGCATTAAGATCCTCCTGTAATCTATCCTGATCGCTGGCATTGAAGATAACTCGAAAGCATTTCGAGTCATCAGCAAATAAGGGTAAATAGGATCCTTGAGATATAACTTCCGGCATATACAACAAAAACAGGAGCGGTCCAAGGACCGAACCTTGAGGTACACCAGATGTTACCGGAAGCCATTCAGAAGCAAATCCATCAATTACAACACGATGCCGTCTCTTATAAAGATAGGAGCGAAACCAAGAGAGCAAAGGAACGCGGATACCCAAAAGATGGAGCTGACAAATTAATTTAGAATGAGGCACACGATCGAAAGCCTTTGCAAAATCAAGATACACTAAATCAACTTGTTGTTTATTATCCATAGATTGAGCAAGTAAATGAACAACCTGCGTAAGCTGCGTAGCACAAGAACGTCTAGGATAGAAACCATGTTGTGAAGTTGTTATTTTATTTGAAAAGAACTCAAAAACTACATTATAAACACCTTTCTCGAAAATTTTGGACAACTGCTCCAACAAAGAAATACCCCTGTAATTAGTTGCTTGAGACTTTCTGCCAGTTTTATGAATAGGTACTAAATTTGCATCTTTCCACTGAGATGGAAATTCACCAGTGCTAAGAGATTCATTAAATAATCTGGTAAGTGGAGTGGCAATGGCATTACTACATTCCTTTAAAAGCTTAGAAGGAATCCCACAGCTAGCTTTGTGGATATCTAAAGAGTGAAGCGCCTTAAGAACATCTTCACTATCTAGCGTTATATTGGAAAGACAAGGTACACTCATGCTGTCGTTCAACGGGTGTGAAACGGTGGTATAAATACTATTATCACAGGCATTAAAAGTAGAATGAAAAAAGGTATTAAATATGTTGGCCTTAGAAATAGAATCAGTAGCAGTTATATTTCCATACGTTATAGTATTAGGAATTCTGTTTGTCTTATTTAAAGCCTTATAATAGGACCAAAAACGTTTAGGATTAGATTTCAAGTCCTGACCAAGATTACTAATGTACGCTTTTTTCTTGTGCTTAATAAGCTTCTTAATCTCTGCCCGTAAACGACGAAATTTAGTCCACAAATAAACAGTATCTCGAGATTTAGCCTTACGCCTCAGGGTGTTCTTTTTCTTCAGCAACAAAACAATTTCTCTATCAACCCACGGAGATCGATTAATGTTACTAACGCATTTCTTCTGTACAAATTGGTCAACAATCGAATAAAATAATTTCATCCATTTCTCCAAACTATTGTTGATGTTATCGTTGTCAAGGAAGCAATCGTCCCAAGATATATCACAAAGCGCCTCCCTCATTCCGTCAAAATT